AAATATGGATGGAGGACAACAGAGCTGCTTCATGGAAGAAGAACCTCAGCTTAGCCTGTTAGCTTTAGCATTAGCCCCGACACTATCACCATATCAGCACATATCCTGGTTAAAAGCCAGTTCTTGTCAAATGTGGGACGTCTGAGTGTTATGTGAGATGTTGTGGGGGTGTTCCAGGACTATTCTGCTCAGTTCAGAACAGTTGTCAGGTGTACATGTTCCTGATGAGGGATCACAGACTCCATAACATAAACCAACCAAAGCCATCAAACTCTCCAAACATGGAAGACAATTGTCTCACTGCTGCTGTTGTCTCTGCAGCTATCGGCTGTATTTCCTGTGTCCTACCTGCTCCTTATCTTAATTGGCTGCAGCTGGCACCATGATTGATGGGTCAGTGATTGGTTCACACCTGATTGTGTTCAGGTCTGGCTCCAGAAGTTAAAGCAGATTTGGGTCTGTCACCCTCACACACATTAACACATTTTATTAACTAGCTAGTCGACCGTCCACAAGTGCAGACTTTACCCAGCTGGGACTTGTGGGTAAAATGTGGTTAAAAAAAATGGTGGCAGTGGTTTTTTAACTCTAGTCCTCAGGGCACACTGCCCTGCATGTTTTAGATGTTTCCCTGCTTCAGCACGGCTGATTCCAATTGGTAACTGATTAACAGGCTTTTGTTGAACTGCAATCATCTGAATCAGGTGTGTTAAAGCAGGGGGACTGGTAAAACATGCGGGGCAGTGTGCTTTGAGGGCCAGGGGTGGGAAACACTGGAGGGTGTCCTCTGCTGTAGTTTTGTTCACATTGGGTGTTAGCTCCTCAGCCCTTATGAAGGACTTCAATCATTCAAGAAGCTTTTTACAGTTACCCACCTCAAAACTGTCAAACTATTCCTTTAAGTTGCTGATAACATCCACAGTTTGATTCTCTTTTGAGTTTGCCTCATTTCTTCTTTAATTTCACTCAATCTAAATTGTCCCCTTCAACATGCCCCACATCACTCTTATTTTTATGAGTGATGTAATTGTGTCACTTCAGATATTTATTATTTTTTCTCTTCCTGCTCAGGCTAAGGGCTTCAAGCAGACCTCTCAGAAAGTGGCCCGTGCCTACTGGTGGAAAAACGTCAAGCTGATCGTGGTCATCATTGTCATCGTGGTCATCATCGTCCTCATTATCGTGCTGTTGGCCACCGGGGTGATTCCTACCAGCCAGTCGGTGGGTCCAGTTGTTGTTCCCACCAAACAGCCTTGAACACACAGGATGTCCACAACGGTGTAAACACACACCCCACTGTTGCACAATCTACAAAAGAACATATTGACTCTTAATAAATCACTGTTTGTCTCGAAAATATTTAAATATTTCTCATTTGCTTCTGGTTACTTTCATGGTTTGATTTCAAGGCACTTTAATGACACACTTGTGAAAATTCAACAAAACCATTTAGAAATTGTCTGTCTAATCTTTGAACAAAATTTAGATTTTTCTCCTGGAAGGACACTCGGCAAGTATGTTCTGATATGTTTCTTCATCCTCTTTCCAGAGAGTTTGTAGATGAACAGAATGAACGTTTCAATCTCACATTTAGTTCATCACCTGTGTGGGCCTTTTACAAGGGCGGGCTTGTAAATTTAAATATTGGTAATCAGAAAGCCTTTTTTTTACATTTGTATGGAGAAAGAACGTCCAGTAACTGAGTGCATGTAGTACTGCTTTAACTGTGAAGCTGGTGTAGGAGGAAACAGCTGTGCAGAGCAGTGAAGTGTGTTGCAGTTCAGCAGTCTGAGTTCTACCTGAACCAGGACTGCGGGTCATGAAGGATACATGTAACTAATGACAGGACTGTTTTCAGCTAAGTGCTTGTAAAATGCAAGAAGGTAGCACAAAGTTTATTTTTGTAAAACCCACCTTTTATAGTTGAGTGTAATAAAGCAGTGTTTGGCTGCTGACACACTTGTTCTGTAGGGTCAGGATCCTCCAGCCAATCAGCTGAGAGAGATGCTTTATAGCCCGTATGAAGACCTGTTGGCCTCATGACAACCAGCTACCATTTTAATCAATTTAAACATTAGGGCCATTATTTTAATTAAAAATACAAGTTTAGACAAATGTGTGTTTTCTGCTTCTTTTTGCTGTTACCAGTACTACTTTAGGTTTAAAGAGGTCAAAATGCTTCTATATAACTGTATATAGTTACATACCTACACGTATATATTTTTGTTTCAGCCGTAGTGTTTTACTGAAGGTCTTTTTTTCTTTAGAAGCTACTAAGTTATTGCTTTATTTTATTATATTATAACAGGTTTAATCAAGTCTTTCTATTAAAACTGTCATTTTCCAGCTGATGTATAAACAGGAGGTTGTGTTGGAACAAATCCTTTGTTAGTTTTTGTTTATTTTTTTATTTTTTTGTCATTCTGGGATACAGTACTCTCTCTCGTCCTTGTCTGTTGCTTTTGACTGATACTGGCCTGAAGAAATTTGGGAATGCTGCAGAGAAAATGTGTATTGAAGCCGTTTCTTTAGCAGGATTATCCCGGGTTTATGGCATTTAATGGTTTTAATATTCTGATGGATGAAATAAATAGTATTTACCTCCACTGTGTTGTGACATCTTTTTTTTAAGAGCTGCTGGTTTAAAATGCTGACAGAATGTTTTTAATACATTTAGAAGTTCACTGACAAACGAGCAAGAATGTTGTTTTTTTTTTACTTTTTTTTTTTTTCCAAGAACCCCCCACCCCCCCCAGACCCCAATAC